GAGTAGGTTGTTCTCTCTGTAGAAAAGTTAATTTTATATTGAAGGAAAGCAGGAACAGTTTCTTTCAGATAAGTTTTTTGGCAAGAGGTAGCACCAGTGAAGTGTGAAAGTTTTATCTCCCTCTAACCCTTAGTAGCAACTCTGGCAAAATTAAGTAGCAGGCTGAAGAAGAAAAGGCACCTAGGCTTCTTCACATGTGTTTCCTACTCTAGTACTTGGAAGAGGAATACCGTAAAGGAGCTCGAGAGGATGACCCAATGCCCCCTGTGCAACCTTACCACTATGGCTCTCATTACTCCAACAGTGGAACTGTACTTCACTTCCTTGTCAGACTACCTCCTTTTACTAAAATGTTTTTAGCCTATCAAGGTAAGACATTTTTGTTTAAATGTAATTAAACTCCATCTTGATAAACTTGTGAAAGGAAATGTATGGTGGAGATTTTAGAGAGAGGAATGCAGTCAGGATCAGGTCCTTGGCTTCTGGTGCTGGCAGGATGCAGCAGGTATATCTGACTGACAGCTGGGCTTAAGAGGGGGCAGCCAGCCTGACTCCAGGAGGATTGGGCTAGGTAGGCAGCCATTAGCACCTAACAAGCTGAAAACCCGGTCCTGCCAGACCTAGGCTGAGGAGGAGGAATTGAATTGAATGAGGCGCATCTATACCATCACCCTAACCCACCAACTCTGCCTCTGGCAAGAGACTAGCCTCTGAACCAGGAAGTTGCTTCCAGAGTGTGCCTTTTTTCTTGATCAGCAGTAATGTGAAATTGTTGTGTGTGGTAATCTCTAAAATATGCCCTACCTTGAGAGCAGACCCATTTTGAGGCTTTCCTCAGGAAAGCCAACAATATTTATGCCCACAATGCATGTCCCTCACAATGGTCTAAATCTTCTGCAGCTTTCTGACTGGGATACAAAGGCTCTAGCTGGTCAGATTTGATTAATGGAATGAAATGGGCAAAGTGGACTCTTTGAAATGTCAAATGTGCAGGTAGTATTACTATTTCCTCCTGTCAGTGTAACAAACTCAGTTTGGGTTTTCTTTGCAGATCAGAGTTTTGACATTCCAGACAGAACCTTTCACTCCACCAATACAACCTGGCGTCTCTCATCCTACGAATCTATGACTGATGTAAAGGAGCTAATCCCAGAATTTTTCTACCTCCCAGAGTTTTTAGTTAACAGAGAAGGTATAGTAAAGATCAGTTGGGCACTACCTTTTTTTGAACATCCAAGGACTCGCCTGTAGGTTGAAACTGAGAACTGTGTGTGATCAGTTCTTTCCCAAGCTATTGAATTTTTAACTGTCCACTAAGCAGGGTGTTGGAGGGGAAAACCTGACTGGTCTCAGGTATTGACATTATGAACCCACAGAGCCTTAGATTGGCTGGGCCACTGTAGTCACAATTTTAGTTCTTCAGATCCAAATATCATGCCCATGAGCTGCACTGTCATAATCCCATTTGAATATGAAAGAACTGAAAAGATGCATGGTAAGTATAGTAATTAAAACACCCTACCTCTTACTCTTAAAAGTAATGTCTACTATAAATACTTATGTTCCTTTTTTCAGCTGTTTATGGTTTTGGGTCCCCAGAATACTCTGACGGTATCAGTCACTGATACAGCTTTCTCTCGTTATATTGAACATGAATGGATTTATATCTTATTTTATCAGAATATGGAAGAAGGTATAAAGACAAGCAACTTCTGTTAAGCATTGGGAGTTGAGGGTACTCAGGTTCTCACTGTAGTGTTCAGCACTTAAAAAGATTGAATCTCTTTTACTGTTCATATTTCCTTGCCAAATTCGCTGAAGAACTCAGTGAAAGGGATCAATGCTGTAAGAAGATGAAGGAAGCAGGTTGTTGAATCAACATAAAACATCCCATACAGAAAGGGCTTTTAGTGAGTTTTTTCTGTAGAAAATTGGCCTTTCAGTGTTAGGTAGAAGACAGGTGGGTGTGTGTGAACAATGCATATCTGAAACCTGGCTGAAACTGCATAGAATAGTGGAAGTTTGGTAGTACTCTGGACAGAGATCATGTTTTGGATGTAGTGAAAATTTAAAGCCTTGTACAGTCATTCATTTTCTCTTGGGAGAGTTGCTGCTCCCCCAGGAGAAACCACAAGTGTACAGATGTTCAGTCTTTTTCTCCTACAGTAAAAATGGCCACTCCAGGAGAAGAATAACCTGGGAATAACCAGGGTTAAATCAGTCCTTAGAGAGTTTTTCTCCTGGGAGAGCAAATGTCTGTACGAGCACAGAAAAAAGTGACAATTTTCACCCGATCTGGCCACAAAAAGCAGTTTAAACTGTGACACAGAAAGCTGTGACCAAATACAAGTGTATGGCTGCAGACAGCTTTCAAAATGGCTGATCAGGTGAAAATCAGACCCCTCATTGCATGAGGTATCAGATGAAGACATTTCAAAATGTAGCAGCTTCTGTAACTTGGGCTGCAGCATTCCCAGCCTGATGCTAATTTCAGAGTGGGAGGGGGGGAAAGGGAGCGAAGGTGTTTTTTTTTCACACCCACCCAGCGGTGGGGTGGGTGTATTGGAGCCCCACCCCCCCAAGGTGGTGGGGGCTCCAGTTCACCCAGCCCACCTTTCAGCACTGGCTGGGGAGTCCCAAGAACAAGCTCCTTCTGCTGCCTTTCTCCTCTCACATTCTGAAAACAGTGAGCACTAGCAGAGAGCCCATTATTATGGGAACCTGGCTGCAGGCTCCCAGCTGCAGTTAGATTTCCCTGCCCCCTGGAACCAACAGTGAACTTCTGTTTTTGGTCTAGGGTAACATTGTGACTCATAACACTTTGCAGAAATTGTCTGCACCCTATACGTTGTAGCTGTTTTCAAAACAGAGCAGTCTTCCAGCATCCTTCCCAGAGGCAGTTTTTCATTTTCTGGACTCTGCTGCTCCAGCAGGTAGCAGAACACATTCCCTTTACAATCCCCACATTATGCTGCAGGGAAACGCAGGCTGATCGTGGGCAGTCTGGATCAGCTAATTGGGGCTTCTGAGTGCACTGTTACCATCTGTTGCCAGGCAGACTAAGGGAGCCTGCAGAGCTCGCTGAGATGTGTGCCCAGGGGCTCCCTCCCTGGCTACACAATGTGTACAGTGTCAGCACTGCAGGCTCTCCAGTCCTAAGGACCTCAGCATTCAAATGTCTACATGTGGCTCTGGATATGTTTTTTTTGTACTAGGAGAACAAACCTGGGAGAATTCCTCCCAGATTATTTGAATATATGTATGCAGCACAAGACATCTAGGATGTGTCAGAAATATCTCATGGTTCTGCAGCTTCTTGCATTGATATTACAGCTGTCATACTACACATGAAGTTCTATAGTATGGTTGGATCTTTTCTGTGACAAGGATGAGAAGCAGGTTACTGTATTTCCAGCAAGAAGTCTATTCAAACAAGTTCCTTACAAAAGTACTGAAAAGCTGTATAGTTTCACAGTGCTTTACAGTAAGAGCAATAATACTAAAAGGGTACATACATATTTCTCTGGATCATCAACTCATACTTTTCGTATACGTTTTTGGTGTGCCACAAAAGCTATTTAATGCAGAGTTCTGGAGAAGGTTCCTGGAGATGATTACATCATGAGAAGTACCCGATTTGCTGTGTGCTTGCAAGCTGCTTGGGTATTTCTTTTTCTATTTTAGTAACTGAAAATATAAACCCACTTTTTATGCTTATAGGTTTTGATTTTGGAGTGCGACAGAATGGTGAAAGAGTTAATCATGTCAATCTCCCACCGTGGGCACGTAATGATCCTCGTCTCTTCATCCTGATTCATCGTCAAACTTTGGAGTCTGACCATGTTTCCCAGACAATCTGTCATTGGATAGATTTGGTGTTTGGATATAAGCAGAAGGGCAAGGCTTCAGTTCAGGCTATAAATGTTTTCCATCCTGCTGTAAGTATCTTCTTGGTCAAGTTGTCTGTTCATAATACAATCTTATGATGGGGAAAGTGTCCAACATGATTGTTTGGAGAACATCTGGATTATGCAGGCTCCCTTAAAATAGTTAACTAGCAAAAAAACAGCAAGGGCATTCAGTGTTCAGGATGGATTGGCAAAATTGTAGTGTTCAATATGAAGTTCAACAATGCTTGAGTTTTATTTTGTCTTTCATTCTTGTTGGGCACTCAACCATTGTTTAATACTATCCAGAAATATGGTGTCTGCCTCTGCTTTAATTTTTCTTCAAAAAGAAGCCTTTCATTTTGGCAGACTGTATCAAAAGCTGCTGCAGACATGAATAAAGTTCAGTGTCAGAGAACAAAACGTTTGTACTATTCCCTCCTGTACAATCATTCTTTGTTCCTTAGATATGTTCTCCTGCTACCTGGTGCTCCATTTAAGTTGCACTGCACTGTTAAGGCTTTGTGTTACCTTCCAAAGTTTCTGCACTTAGGGCAGTGGTGAAAAGAGAACAAAATGACAAAGGGACTTATTAATTGCAGAAGAATTCCTAAAACTTACTTTTTCAGCTCAAACTGCATTTGAATAGCTTCATGCAAGAGTAATATAACATTTGTCAAGCCAGGTGCTCTCCTGCTAGTTTAATTGAGTTCTCTATAATTGTTGAGGAGTTCATGGTAAAATATGGTATTTCAAATAGCCTTCATTTTTAAAAACGTGCATATAAAAAAATTGTGGTTCTGCACAGCAACTTAAGCTTGCCATAGCGACCACTTCTTGAAGCACAAACCAAGGCATACACACAGAATGAAAGGAAGGATGCATGGATTTGGGGTTTTGGCAGCTAGGGACCAGAGGAACATGGAAAACTTGCCTCTCTTCTTGTGTTAAGCTGGAAAATTTAAAAAAAAAAATTGAGCCCTATTGCAGTATAAGGAGTCAGGATGACTTATCATGAAATATTTTTACTATTTTGTAGACATACTTTGGGATGGATGTTTCTGCTGTTGAAGATCCTGTTCAAAGAAGAGCTTTGGAAACCATGATAAAAACATACGGACAGACCCCTCGTCAGTTATTCTACACAGCGCACATCAGCAGACCGGGGTCCAGGCTCATAATGGAAGGAGAACTTCCTGCTGCGATGGGGTTATTAGTGCAGTTTGCTTTCAGAGAAACCAGGGAGCACACTAAAGAAATAGTATATCCAGTATGTCATTTTGATTTGCAGGATTGCTCAATTAGCATTCACAGACTATAATTACTGCACCCTGATGCTCACATCTGAATAATTAAGCGGAACAGCTGTACTTGGACTGTATTAAGGCAAAGCACTGGCACAATATTCTCTCCATGATTAAGACATTTCATGATTATGTACATCAGCACAGGACTAGCATGATGATTTGCAGAGCCCCAAGCTTATAGAAGAAGAGCCTCGTATTGATTTTATTCTTCCCTATCCTAGTGCCAGAGTATGTGTGGTAGGGGAGTGTAGCCTCTTCTCCCATGCTGTGCACAACAGAAAAAGAGAATATTGTTCTGCACCACAGAGTACCAGAGTGCATATGGCACTCTGTGCCAGTGCATGCTCACGTGTCTTTCTGTAAGAAGTGTTACCCACAGTAAAAGTGACCGTAGATTAGAAGCATCGAGAGTCTCCTTCTTGCCTCTTACGAAAAATAACTATGGAAAAATGATCTTTTTTCACTTCATAGTAACAGCCTTAAAGTAAAGGAGAAGTTAGAGGAGGGTGGTACCACGGAGTCTAGTTGGTTCAGAATCATGAGCTTTCAAAATTCCCTGTTTTGTCAGGAGTCCATTCCCCTAATATGAAGTCAGCTGTTGCCTACAAAACCTTGTGGTGCTCTGAACCAGTTAGTCTCTAAAGTGCTAGCCCTGCCTCTTCCCTGACTACAGACTAACACAGCTAACTGGCTACTTCTAACTTTAAGTAAAGGAGGAATGTCTTTCACATGCTCTGGGATGAGGGTGGGGTGCTTTAATTAGAGCAGCTCTCGGGAGCTGCTTTAATTAAACTGCCCACTGGGTCGTGTTAGCATTTTGCACTTCAAAATGGTGTCAGGGGTGCTTTAACTAAAGCTTGTTCAATGGGCTTTAGTTAAAGCTCCCCCCGCCACCATTTTGAAGCACAGGAACACTGAATACATGTGATACCAAGGCTGCTGGAGCATGCAGACTTGATTTAATCAAGTCTACTGTGATGCATTCTAATTAGAACATGTTGGTGGAGCAGGTGTCAAGCATGTGTATGTGGGTGCCTGCGGTTTTTAGATTGCTGCTTTTGATGTTTTTAGTATCAGAATTTTATTAGGGTCTTTTCACATCAGTACTTTGTATACAGCATCATTACTATGCCTCTGGCTCTTCAAAATTTAGGAAGAGTTGATAGAATCTGACCAGTTTAATTGTGATACATAAATACACATACAGAATCTGTACATTAGTCTTGTTTCTGTATTGAGCAAGGTGCCAAAGGAATTTCTTTTTGTTTTCTGCTGGAGGAACATTTCAAATTGGATTTCTCTGAATATTTAAAGTTACTTTTGTTTTCTTTAAAACCTGACTAGATTTTTGTTATGTTTTACTTTTTTTACAGTAATTATGGTAAATGTTGCATTTATCTTGCTTTAAGCAAATAGAATGCTGGTAATTGCAAGGACACTTGACTTTAGCTGCCTGCTTTGAATGGTGAATTCTTGATCCAGCCTGAAGGACTGGGATGCCCATGTCTAGAGGTGAAAAAGTGATATGCTGCTGTTCAACATAAACCCTGCAAATTCTGCTCTAGTTCATAAATGAGAGAATTCACTTGAAATGAATAACATATAACATTAAATTTCTTTTTTCCTATTTGTTTTTCAAATATAGCTTTAAATGTACAAACCAGTGTAAGACTTGAATCATTCATATGAGTTTTGACTTTGATTTTCTCCTCCTTAAATAGCTTCACTCTGCTGAGCTGTCTTTAAATTATATTTTATTTACTTTTTTTCTAGAGTCCTTTGCCTTGGATAAAAGGTTTGAAGTGGGGTGAATATGTTGGCTCCCCAAGCTCTCCAGATCCTGTTGTTTGTTTTAGTCAGCCACATGGGGAGAGGTTTGGCTCTTTGCAAGCTCTGCCAACTAGAGCTATTTGTGGTCTCTCCCGAAAATTCTGCCTTCTGATGATATATAGCAAAGAACAAGGTCAGTAAGCCCCGGCATCAGAATTGCATATGAGGTCCAATGACTATGATGCCACACGTGTCCTCCAGCAAACTCTGTGAACTTTCGGTCTTATTTATAGTTCTTGGCAGAATAAAAGGGTAAATCCAGGTATATGTAATATCAATAGCCCAACTGGGGTGAACAAACAAGGCACTAGCCCAGGGTGCCAACTTAAAAGAGGGAACCAAAATGATAGCTTCTGGGGGCAGGCTGTGCTCTGGCAAGATAAGCCAAGGTCAGGGGACATCACACTATGGCAACAGCAGCCAGGGTCTTTAAATCTCTGGGGCAGATAAGCCACCTCCCATTCCCCTGACGTCCACAGCTTGCCAGCAGATTTGGTGTGGCAGTACTGAGTGGATGAGTAGGTGAAAAGAGCAGCAGCAACATGGGAAAGAAAAGTGGAGGAGCAGCTAGCTGTTAGAGCATGGAAGTGGGGGCATGAGCAGTAGAAACAGCTGTAAAGCTTTGAAGCAGGAAGTTTTGTTCTGATTTCAGGTTACCTTTGTCTTTTGAGATCATATCATTGAGTTTTCATAATTCTTAGTCTTCTGCCTCCAAAGCAACTTTATAAGTCAGGATTTTTAAAACAAGTGCCCTAAACTGGGCTCTTACTTTCAGTGCCTTAATATGATAGCCCAATATTTCTAAAATTTTGAACACTGAAGTCCTACTGATGCCATTGATGCTGCTTGGTGGAGTTGGTCACAGAGTGGGGTGGCAAATACTTCTAACATTGCCAGCTTCCCCCCCCCCCC